GCTTGTCTTAGAGCGATGCTAATACAGAGCATCCTGCCTTTCGTCCCATTTTGTATGAGTAACCCTTTGCATATGGAGATTGAAGCAAACAGCTTGTAGGTGGAAATGGCAGTAAATTTAAAAAAAAAAAAAAGACTTACTGCAAAACAAACACTTTGGTGTGTTAGTAGAACTGCTCACGCAGACCAAGACCTGCGTATTTGCTGCCTGTTTCGATCGCAGCATGAGTGTGAGCGCAGCTGAGCAAAATGCGGATGTGCCTATATGACTTAAAACGTGAACTGGTGAACGCGTGTATTTGTGTGTCTCTCAGCCTGAGACAGGCTTTCTAAGCGTCGTAGTTCTCATCCCAAAGATACACAGGGTTCCAGACTATATGTAAAATAATCTTCAGTGTTGGGAGAGAAAGCCCTCGGGTATTCTCTCGTCAGCTGAGGCTGCCAAGAGGTCATCTTAAATCTGGTCCCACAACCTGAAATATAATGGCGCATCTTCTTAGCCTTCGGGTGCTTTAATGCTCCAAATCAAGCACCGGTGGGTAAACAGTATTTCAGGAGAAGGGGCACATATAAGAGCACAACACCATATATGAAAGAGAAAGACCTTGCAGCTCTCATTTGGCAGGTATATTTTACAAGAAGCAACGTAAATCACATTAGGGGACTTATTTAAAACTGGGTTACTGCATATCTTCAGAAATGAAATTAAAAGCATCACCCATGTGCTTACAAACGGAGAAGTGAAGCTTTCTATCTTTATTTGGAGTAGTTGTGTGCAATTTTTTAAAGGCTCTTTTGAATTGCTATTGACAGTTACACAGTTTCAAGGTCATGAGAAATAGGCTGCAGAAATAGTTAATGACTTAAAAGATAATCAAGATATTTCTATAATTTGGGAATACTGATAATAACGCATGAATTTATTTCCCTAACAGAATTTACTCCACAATGCCCAGCTGTAGACTCGTCAGAGAGGATCGACTGCATCCCGGATCAAGTAGCAACAAAGGTCTGGAAATATTACAGGGAAAATTTAGAAAATAGGCTTTATCCCATAAAGCTTTGTATTTAACTACAAAAACTTAACTTAGTCTTTACTAGATCAGCGTTTCTTTAACTTTTTTTTTTTGATCTGTGAATGCCTGAATACCTTGCAGTGAAGTGTAGCCCCTCAAAAACCAGTTTCAGCCCACTGACAGGAGGTTTGATATTTTCATATTTCCCCCCCCGGCCACTGTAGCAGTTTGCTGCCAGAGGCTGAAGGCCACTGCTAAAGTCCACCCCATCAATCCTCCTTTGAGAGAAGTGGGGACAAAATTAGGCCAACATCAAGCCGTTCGAAAAATTCACTCCTTATTTTTAACAACTTTGCTGAAACAGTTCTTTCTTGTGGGATGGTGAAGCCTGAGCGTTTATAATAAGGTATATTCTAGAACTAGCAAGTCAGGACGCGCTTTACCAAGACGCACAAGATTTTTCGACTGTAATAGACACTATCATAGTGTCTTTTCAGAAGCAATTTTAATCGCAGTCTCTTTCTTACTCGGCTGACGTTTGGCTTCTGATGGAGCACAGAATTTAGAAGCAGCCTTGCTGAAGAAGCTGTGAGTTACTTCAGTTTTCCAGTGGAAATTTTCATTTTCATCCTGATTTTTTTTTTTTTCAAAGCTCTTACATCAGTTTAAAACATTTGTATATCAGTTGTTATTGAAACATTATTATCATTACTATTAATACTTTTCATTTTTAAAAATATGTTCTCACTTTCTGATGGAAGCTGATGGGGGCCTGGCATCTTTTGTTGATTTTTGGAGGGGGAATTTAGCAGAAAAAGCAATGAGGATATAATGATGGGTGGTGCTTACATCATTCGCAGAGATATAAAACGTGATTAACCGGCTGTCTCGAACTCGGAGTGAATTCCCCAGCTAATTGCAGAACTGACAGTTGTTAATGCTCCGGTCACGCCGCAGGTTGTGTTATGCTATATAGGTCAATAAAATGCTGCAGGTAACTATATTAGTGGAGGATGAACCTCTTTCAATGGAAGGAGCCAGCTCCTTAGCCGGCTCCTGAAGCCTCCAAGCCTTGCGCAGCCAGACCCCCAGGGTCTGAGCAGTGTAAAAGCCCATTTTTTAAGTCTTTTTTTAAGTCTCCTTTTCCTTCCCCATTGTGCGATTTTGCTTACATTTCTGAAAAATCAGGAACCGACTTTTGCCGGGAATATGGGAGACTGTGGTTTAGAGCGTGGCCTTGCATCACTTGTCCAGAGCGAAGCTGCTCTGGAGGAGGAAACACTGCTCGTGCCTTCATCTTCTGCATCCCAGGTTAATGGTCTGCATGCATCTACTACTCCCCAGTGCTAGCTGGGAAAAATAGCAGCGAGGTGAGAGGCGTTATTCAGAAATGAGATATGTTGGCACGCTTTCATTCTGCAATGTATTTTTGAACTCTTGATGAGCTCTGTGAGGTGCGTGCCTGACGCAGCCCAGAATCCCACCATGCATTCCCTTGCACGTTTCCTCCTGCAAATATTTCACTTGTGCTCCTTTAGGCTTATTTTTAATCCTGCCAGAGGCAGAGCTGTAAAACTCCAGATACCTACTTAGGAAAGAAGATAACTCTTCTGTAGTGGTTTCCATTATGGGCTTGCATGATAAACAGCAGTTGGGAAAATTATGATTTGCCTAAGATCTTATAGTAGGTTAGTGTCTGTCTTGATTTCTTTATTCATCCAAGTCACCCTAAAATAAGCCAGAAAATGGTCTTTAATGAGTAGTACTGCACAGGGTAGAAGTATAGAAATGAAATAAATGTTATTAACCATTCACATGATTGTCGAAGATAGAAACTGAAAGAAAGCAGATATTTGTTAACTATTCCCTCCTGTGGCAAACTATAGTGAACTTTGATTAGACAAGAGGAACACGGCGATAAGAAATGAGCTACCATGACTAATGCTAGTGCTGTCCAGTATCACTCTAATTCCTCTGAAGCTTTTTTCTTTTTCTCTTTTTTTTTTTTTCCAGCAATACTCTGCTGGCACAGGCTTATCTATTTGCTTTGCATAAAAGAAATGCTGTAGTTAAGCACATTGACAAGCTATTCTTTTAACCCTGGGTGCCGAGGTCAACGTTCAGAAGCCATCTGACAGCATATGCCATCGTACGCTGCTTCCTCGTATCCCAGACGATCTCTAATCACACTTCAACTTTTTCTCTCTGGCTTTATTGGGTGTTGGTATCTATTACGCTGTTATTACAGCTCAGGGGCTGTGGCCAGCTTTCGTCTCTATTTATGTTAAGTGATAGCTTTTATAATGGCCTCTCCAATACCCTTTGGATGGACCCTGCTCCTTCCTCTGCTCGGTGTAAAGGATCGGGCACTCCTGCACGTGTTTCCTTCTGAGATCTGAGTTCTGCAGGATATAGTTATTTGTACAAAAACAATTCGGACAGAGGAGATAGGCGATTCTTACGCTATCTGAGACAGCAGAGGGGATAGGTATTTCTTAAGCTATCTGAGATAGCCTATAACCTAGGTTATAGGCTATAAGCTATAATAGTTCCCACTAGAAGGGACCTTGGAAGATGGGGAGTGAACACAGTATTTCATAGCCCTATAGGATGTACTGATTTGTGGATGACTGGGGGAAAAATGAGTCCCTGGTTTCTCTCCTCCAGCCTTGCTGCTGCTTTGACCCCTGATCAAAACAACAGCACTGATATTTTCTGATTTTTTATCAGTCCACAGAGAGAGAGATAGAGGTGCATCAGCTTGGTGGTTCTTGGCTCACCGTGGGGGTTGATACAGGTTTCGGTGCTCAGCACAGCCACGAGGGTGCAAGCAGGCTACGGCAGCGCAGGGCTGCAGCCAGCCCCAGAGCTTGTCCTTGCTCTGTTCAGAGGCTGCGAAAAGCATGCGCACTGTGCTGCGCCCCACAGCCCCAAAATGGGTCTCACCAGGGCTCGGGCCAGCAGCAGCAGAGCTCCTGAGCCAGCTCCAGCCATAACGAGCTGCAGCATATTTAAAAATAAGCATGGCACAAGCACCAAAAATACTTGGCCGCAGATGGGCAAAGGCAAAAGCAGCTTCAAGAGTCTCTGCGAGCTGGTGGGGAGAGGCAGACGTCCTGGAGAAGTGTAGTTTGGACGAGGTCCTGGAGATCCGCAGGTTGGACTTGGGCACCTGAGATCATTCGCGGACGTAGCCCTTTGCTCCTGGAGAAGCCTGTTACATCAGCGCTGCCCTTTCACGCCCATCATGAGTTATCTCTTTAATGAGAGGCAATGCATGGATGCTTACAGTGATATATTACCCAAATCTTACCCTTGAATATAAAACCCATGCAAAGAATGTGTGAACGAGTTAATTTCTAACCACAAAACAAAGGCACTCTGGTTTACCGGGCTACTGAGATGCAGTGTAAAGGCTAGTCCTGCTACACCAAGATATATATTTTAAACATAGGGTTAATTACTTGAGATTTTTTTGGGGGGGTGGGGGAAGTTGATTTATCTCAGGTTGAGGCTATGCTGAAGTGCTCTCAACATTTGTGGCATTGGAACATCAGATTAATATGTATGTTATACCAGATGATCCATGGAGGTGTTTCTGGGTCAGTGGAGGAAGGCATTATCTTGTTTCTATACACAAATTATTATTTTATAACTATTGAACTTTTTAAACTATATTTTAAACTGCTTTTAAAGTATAACAGCCGTAACTTCTATCCACTCTGCAGTGTGTGACTTTTGGTCAGGCTATACCGTATCTGTTATAGCTCAAATGATTCATTTTATTTTTTTTAAATAGTTCATTTTACCATTTACCAGCGGATCTTGTGACTTTGAGAGAGAACAAATGTCCAAAATCCATATTTTTTTTCAGCACCAATAAGCAAGTTTCTACTCTAAATCCAGAGGATAACTTTCTATTTGCTCTGTGCCACCAAAATCACCTGATCGATTTTCACAGAAGGAGTTGATCTGACTGTAAATAATGTACAGGTTTCTGGTGTGGGGGGTAAAATACAGTTCTTGTGCTTTCCAAATATTGTAGTACAGGGGATTTATTTGTATAAAATCTGCTTGTTTGTGCCATTTATGCACCAGAACCTCTGCAACCTGCGCGGCTGCTGCTGGAGCCCCCAGAGTGACACCAGCGTGCCCTGGTGCTTCTTCTCTTCAAACCATGGGTACAAAGTGGACGGCTCCATGCGAACAACCCAAGCGGGTAAGCCTGGCTCCAAGGCTTATGCCCAGCCAGACACCCTGTTCAAGGCACTGACGTTGCCGCTTGCGTTTTTTCCCTAAGGATTCCAGGCTACGTTAACAAGGCTGTCGTCACCTTCCCTCTTTGGAAACGATATCAACACCGTCCTCCTCACTGGAGAGTATCAGACACAAAATCGCTTCCGGTTCAAGGTTAGTTTTTTTCATATGCTTTTTTCTTAAGGTTCAGGCTATGTGCAAGATTTTGGGCTGGCTGTTATCATGGAGAAACGCAACGTGGTGGGGTTATGAGGGCTGCGTTAATTCTCTGCGTTGCTCTCGTGACCCCTGTTGAAGTGTGTCCTCGTGTATCCAAGAGCGGGTTTTGAACAGGAGAAACTTTTATCCAGCCGTGCAAACTCAAATCAAGCAAAGGTTTTGACAATCTTTTTTTTTTTTTTTTTTTTTCCTTCCCTAAAAAGAAAGGTCTGGACTCGAAATACACAGTCTGCCTCCGGACCTTGCTGTCTTGCTCCCCGCTCTGTTCAAGGAACAAGACGCATCCCTTGGGATGCTGGCACAGCTTCCCGGGCCTCAGCACCGAGGGGTAAAGCTGAGCCCCTTGGCCAGCGCCGAAACCCTCCTTTTCTTATCCTTGCTGCTCTCGCAGTGCATAGGACTGACGACGAAAATGAAAAATGACAACTTTTTAAAATGAAAAGTTTCCCAATACCTTCGGAAAGATGAGCTTTTTTATTCTTTACCTTTTCTCCCTCATCATAGGGAAACTTTTTGGGGCCAAACGTATTTGTTTACCTCTTATTTATGTCCTGGCCACATCTCACAGTCGTTTGGTCGGAAAGCTTTAGCACTGCCAAAGCTGTCTGTTCTTTATGGAAAATTCAGTAGTTTGTGAATATGCAATATTCACGGAGTCTGGGAGTGAGCTGGACTTTTTCTACAGGAAAACTTCCTCTTTTTGTGTGTTCCTGGTGAGCTAGGAAAAAGCAGGGTCAAGGATAAATAGGGAAATAGCTGAAACCGGGCAACGAAAGTGGGACGAGAGAAGCAATGAAGGCAGAAGTGGAAAACTGGGACAGGGATGGAAATAGGCAGTGGACTGGGACTTGGGCTGGAAGGGGGTTTGCTGAAAGTGGGACCGCCGGGTAGGCCAGCCGGAAGGCAGGCTGGGTTAGTCTGTGCTCGGCCAGCACCTGGGTGTGGGGAAAGATTAAAACTGAGGAGCCGAAGGGAATACGGTTGTGTAAATTCTGGATAATGCAGACCTCCACGGGAAAAATCCTCTCAGATCAAGTAATAAAGGAAATATTCTAATATTTATAAACAAAGGGGCTGGGTAGGTTAACCCAGTCTTAATTCTGCCATTTATTGACTTCGACCTTTTGTTGTCTGAATGCTGTTTTGACAATGCTTGTTTTTGCTAAATCAGAAATAATTGTTCAGGCTGGAACATGCAAGAGTTAGACTTTAATTTCTAAAAGCCTAATACTTTTGTTGTTGTAATACGCGCAGATCACTGATCCTAACACCCAGAGATTTGAAGTCCCCCACGAGAACGTGGGAGCCTTCAGCGGGTCCGCGGCCTCCGACTTAAAGTATAAAGTCGACATTAAGCACAATCCCTTTGGCATCACGGTGACCAGAGTAAGCAATGGAAAAGTCCTGTAAGTAACTTTGGTGCTTTTGATGAATAATGCTGATGCCATTTGTTTTCTCTGAAAGTCCGTGTTGCAACATGAATAACACGTGCCCAAGACGGGGCGTATGCAGGGTCCCCTGGGATGTGCAAGCTGCTGCTTTTCTTTTGATTGATGCACGTTTTGCAAGGACTCTGAGGGCCTTCAAAATAACTCCCCTTCATTTTCCTAAAAATAGAGAAAACCTACCTTGCAGCTCCCCGCCCAGCTTGCAGACCCATTAAAAGGGGGAAGTGTCGGGAGTAACACGCTCATTCAATCAATTGGAGAATGATTACCCGTCAGACCGCTAGGATAAGCGGGATTGCTGTCAACTCTTCCAGTTTAATTAATTAGCAATTACTTTTGTGCAGTTATTAGTATTGTTTACTTACTTAAAATCCTCTGTAGTGATTGATTTGTAATTATGGAGTGCACTATAGATGGGCTTGGCATTCAGTAGTCTAAAACTGATTAAATGGGTGTATGGAGGGGAGAATAAGTAATCCAGTTCAATAGGACCAATTAGAACCAGTGCTCTGGAAGACTGCTTGTATTATCAAATTAAATAAATGTCTAAGGATAAAAACAGTTGTGTTTTCTGTCTTTAAGGAAAAAAATCACAATTATGCTTGACTGTGAGTTTGTGAGCATCTAAAAGTAAGCCAACATTTAAATGGGATCAAAGTAGCCCCTTGGGTGAAAATCCTTGATAAAGTTGGATGAGTAAGAATCAATATGTTATTACAATTCATTACAAAAGTCTTAATAGGCTTTATACCTATTTAGATAATTAACTTCCATCATCATCTGTTACACTAGAGCTCCCCCAAAAAGGAGCTAGCACTGATAGCCCAATCACCATCATCATTTGCAAGACAAGACCAAAAATTGTCATAATTTCATAGAAAATATAGATTTTCTTTTTCTACCAAAAAACTAGTCTCAGTACAATCTGTGAGCAGATGGGCAAGACTGTTCTTGGAATCATTAAAACTGGGAAAAAGTACATCAGATGAGAATTTGACCCATGAAGCCTCTTTAGAGTGTTAGTATTTTTTTTACTTTAATTAAAAAGGAAAAAAAAAGAAAAGAGGTAATATGTGTGGGTTATAAATGTAGAAAGCCCAGACTCCCCTGTTATTGTAGCTTGTTTATGCAATGTTTGTAATTGCTAATACACTGTGTATTTACTTAGTTTAAGGACCTCTTATTCTGGTAACAATAACATACTCAAAGTGACAAATACAGCTATATCATATATAGTACAGTTGTACAAATACAGTTATAGCACATTAATACATCTGGAGTGATTAAAAATTAAAATTAACGTAAGTGAGTTTGTCTAAACTTAGGAGAAAGTTGTATTACTCTCCTTTACGATTACCATGTGATGTCTTCTAGATTGTTAAATTTGTCACAAATACTACACAAACGGCAGATTGTAAAAAGAGGTTTAATCAGAAATGCCTAAAGTCAGTAGACAAAAGCATATCACTTTGAAATTGTGTATGACATTGAAACATAGCTGGGTAGCAGTTTGCCATCTCAAAGTCAGTCATTTTCTCCGCTTTTGGTGAAAGACTGTGTTTCTGTAGATCCCCATAAGCTCTTAGTTTAATAAAGCTGAAGATAACCTTCAAATCTCAGGATCAGCTTCATTCCAATTGCTTTGTCCTTTAAATCTGGTTTAACTCATAATTACATTCTATTTATGATTGTTTCATTTAAAAAAAATGATGATTGAGGGGAAAATAAAACTACTAGGTACTTTTAAAATAAAACTACTAGGTAGGGGTCAATTTTAATATACTTCTCAATGGGGAATGCTAAAAATCTTAGAGAAAAAAAGAGGAAAACCAATACTGATAGGTTTAAAATTAATGAAATAATTAAATATTTTGATTGGAACTCTTTTTTTTTTCTCTCCAATTTGCCATTTCATAAAGAAAAAAAAGTAAATATTTCAAACCTATTTCTACTTTTCCTTTTTTTTTTTTAATTAAAAAGTTACAGGAGATAGAGCAGAATCTGGCAAATTTGATAGGAAATGTCTGCTTCTTGCCTGTGTTGTGGGCACCCCGGTTGGGTAGCAAGACCCGTGTGAAGGTGCCCCCATCGGGTAGGGAGTAAAGACACCCCAGACGGGCAATAAAGCTGTTTGGTGGCGTGGGAGGTCCAGCCCCCTCCCCTCTTCAGTGGGGCTAAACGAAGAAGAGCCAATTAAAGATTGCCGCTTCGACACCGTGCAAATGTCCTCGCTCTTCCTTGAGTCGTGCCCATAGAAATAAGGAAGGAAATTAGGTTTTTTTTCTTAAACATATAAAGCTCTCCTAATCCTCAGCTGGAAGATTAAGAGTTTGTCAGTAATGAAAGGGATTAGCAAAAGATACAAAATTAAATTAACAAAAGATACTTTATTAATGGAATTAACTTTTACTGTGTGTTTTGCTGAGAGATGTAAAGGAGGAATATCGGTCTCCGGCTTACTCTGTTTGTGCAAATATAAATTTAAAAAAAAAAAAAGGCTCCGTATCTATTTTCAACCCCACTGACTTCCTGTTCCTTGCAAACCTCAGCAGCTGCTTTATGCAAAGTTACTAAGGGAAATGTGATAGCCATCAGCTGGGATTGAACCATGCTACGGATTAAACTAATTCTGTAATCCACCCTCAAGGAGCCTCCTGCCTCGACCCCTGGTTTGCTGGAGCCCAGAGGGAAGGGCCAGCACGTGGCTGTGGTTTCCCAGGCTTGTTTTCCCTGGCACGCGCAAGCTGCCATTTATTTGAAAAAAATCTGGTAAAAAGTGGGTTATTTCTGTATTTCTTTCTACCCACGGAAATTTTCCATCTACTGGGCTATTGTGCGGGGCCGCAGGGAGTCGTGGGAACGTAGCCCCGACAGGAGCTCGGCCGCTGGGACGAGATGTTTCTGCTGCACCCTTCACAGGCGCCGCTCGCCCCATCCTGGCCACCCTCTGCCCGGACCCCGGTTAAGACCCCACTCTGCTCTACCTGAAAGGAGTAATTATTGCAAAAATAATTTTTCATTCTTGTTGCTTAACCAGGTTCAATACCACCATCGGGCCGCTGCAGTACGCGGAGCAGTATTTACAGCTGTCCATCAAACTGCCTAGCAGCAACATCTACGGCGTGGGAGAGCACGTGCACAAGCAGTACCGGCACGACGTCAACTGGAAAACCTGGCCCATGTTCAGCAGGGACATCGGCCCCTCTGGGGTAAGGGCTCCTTTCATTACGCCTTATTCCTCGCACATGAATTTGGGAATCCAAACATATTATGCAGCAGACCCGTTAATAATATGCATTGAGTTTCTCCCTGAAGACTTGTCAGGCACCGCATGTAACTGCTAAAAGCTGCATGTTACTGGTGAAAGTTCCCCGAGGAATAGCTTTTTACAAATATTTTGATTTTTTTTTATGTTCTTGTGAAGTGCTGAAAATCACTTGATAAACATTAATATATGAGAGTCTTCAGTTCCCACCGATACATAAAATAAATAACAATATGCCCAAATGCATCGCTGTGCGCAAAACTCGGTACGTGCATTTTCGGATAATGGCTTTGTAGCTCGGCAAATAAGGGCAAAATTCCACTTAACAGCTGTTTCTTTACAAGATAAACTATGTCTGTCAGCAGTTATTTGTTTCCAGTCTTTATGGCTGTCGTCTTCCAAAATGATTTCCAGGGCACCCATTTTGCAATAGTTATAAGAGAAGAATCTCATCTGTGCCCTGAGACTTCTTCAGGCTTTGATCCCAGGTGCTCTAGCGCTGGCACGCAGCGATGCGCTGTATTGCTCTGTCACTTCCTCACTCCAGTGACTTGTTAGCAGCGATATCAAGCGTACGCGGTTTCAAATCGCTTGTGCCGAAGGTGAGGTGCTGATTAAAACAATGATACTAATTTTCTGCTTGTTGCTTTTTCCTGATTCTGTATTCCCCCATGCAACCTTGCTTACATCCCCCACCGTACCCAGAAATCAAATCTCATTGCTATGTTTATTCACATCTCTTGCTTTGCCTAGAAGCTTTCAAACAAGGGAAATTTTTGCTGAAGCTTGTAAGCACTCAACTGAGCTCATGGAAAAAAAAGCCATGGAAAAATCTGTGTGTCTGATGTTACAAAATCAGCTTTAAGGACTTTATGGAGAAAGAAATCAATATAAACTGTGAATGAAGGAATATCTGCTAATGATTTATCTGGTTTCATTTTTATTGGAGTTAAACTAATTTATTTATAACTAGCTAATGAACCTCTGATAAACACAATTTGTCCTTATTACCCGAGTTTAACAAAGCAACCACCCGTACATATGCTTTATTTCGAGAGAGCACTTAAGTATTTTGCTGAAATAAACGCAGGATCGAGGGGAGCTCTCCCTGTATACGATTAATTAATAATTTGAAATTAACACGCCTTATCTGGAGGCTTCTACCATGGGAATTTCTCCTGCGATGGGGCTGCAGTGTCAGGTTGAGGCATGGCCCGGTGACAGCTGTCTGAGGAGGGTCTTTATGGGCCAAATTGTTAAAAGTAATCAGGCCTCTGGCGGTGGAAGTGTAGATCTAGGGGAGTGAGTTGCTGAGATTTGTGTCTCTTAAGCTGTGCCTCTCGCAGCTCTCTGTCCATTAGGCAGCTGGCGAGGGAGGTCCCCGCAGGGGACGTTGGTGCGGTGACCGCCCCTGGGCAGTCTCGGGACCTTTTCCCCCCGGCACCCCTCTTCCTTTGGAAATTTGATAGGAGAAACTAATTATACCCCCTCTGAATCTAATTGCTAGCAATGGCAACGCAGGGTATGATTTGGCCCAGTGAAATGTCACAAAGCTCAGTTTTGTTTTCAGAACCAAAATCTACATTAGCTCACATTTGTCTTGCTATAAACAAGCTCTGTTGTAGAAATCATCCCATTGATTTTCCATCTCTACTAAATTTTCAGCTTATAAACCTCCTCTTTTTAATAATTAGCGTGGGGGGGTTTGAAGATGGTTCTTATCTGAGTGGCTCCATTGAATGTAGACTAATTAAGTTAAACCAACAGTCAGCAAAATTAATTTAGGCTACTTCTGAATAGCTACAGTTATGTTCCTCATTAATTTGTTCTGAGTTTTGTTTTGCAGGGAAAAACTATGACAACAGCTGTTATCATTTATAAGATCTTTTTGTTGCTCATAATACAAGGAAAAAGCAATAGAAACGAGACAAAAAAAGAAACAAAGCACTCTCTTATTTACATAGATCAGATATAAAAATGATTGCCTTGTAGGATTAATAGTAACATAGATTAGATGTAAAACCTTGTACCACCTCTTAGGATATATTATTCACCTGATGTGCATATATATTACCCAGAAATAGTACTGCAGTATATGCAGATTTGCTCTAAATTCCGTGGTACCTGTTTGCTTATGTTGTCTATATATTTCCAGAAACTTTTTGTTGAATGGAAAACATTCTCATAAAGCAGAAAAATGCCAGGAAGTAAAAACCAAAGCTGTAGGAAACTGTCAGTGTTTTTATTCTTGTTGTTTGTTGTATGTGGAGAAGCTCAAGGCTGTGCCTATGATATCTTTTGAAAAATCCCAGAATAAAAACATTTGTTAGATTTTAATCAGCTTTTTTTTTTTTCTTTAAGGACATGCATAACTTATACGGAGTTCAGACTTTCTTCCTGTGTTTGGAAGACAGCACTGGAGCCTCTCTCGGTGTTTTCTTAATGAATAGCAACGCCATGGGTAAGAAAGCTTTCTCTGTCGCTCCAAGTATTGCGGTTAAACTTTGTTTTAAAAGGTCTGTGGGACGGCGATCCAAACTGAGCTAATTGTCCTTTATTAAGGACATTTGCAAATCTAATGAGAAAAGTCTGTGCCTTTAGGTTTTTAGCGATCCTCTTCTCTTTGTGGGACCTACGCAAATACGGACATTTAAGAGTCACCCGAACACACTTCACCTCCCTTGCAAGGGCAAGTCATGGTTTGGGGTTCCTGGGGTATTTCGGTGTTGTATTTCTTCCGAAGTAAGTTTTCTTGTGTTCAATATCAGCATGACAGAGTTGCTGTAGATTTAGCGAGCGTTCTTGTCCGGCAGAGTTTGAGGTGCAGCCCGCCCCGGCCGTGACTTACAGAACCATCGGGGGAATCCTTGATTTCTACGTCTTCGTGGGGGACACGCCGGAGCAAGTGGTGCAGGAGTACCTGAAGGTCCATCTACCTACAGAAATTGCACATAGAATTTTCCATTTGATTCTTAAGAGCACTTTTTTTTTTTTTTAAATTCTTTCCCCCTCTTTATAGGACAGTGTGTCTTCACTATGTTATTTATTAACTGATGGTATAATGCAATATTTACATAACTAAGTATAACTCTTAGCGTGTCCCTAGTGTGGCTGCTGTCACTGGGAGTCACTAGCAGGAGTGAAGCTGGGGTGTGGATGGGGTTAGCTGGGCTTACGCTCGCCTGCTGGAGCTGACCGTTCTTGTACGGACAAGTTCTTATTTGTACGGCAACGTTATAGGGTGGCTGCAGGTGCTTACGGCCGTGTTATCGTTTTATGGTACAAAGCTGTGGCAGATATTCCCCGTTAAGTACTTCTTGCGGTCAGATGATGTTGCGTTGATATCTTAAAGATCGTGTAGATTTTTGAACAGCATTGCACTTAAGGGGCAGGGCTAATGAACGGGTGTAAAGTCAGAAAATAAAACGAAGGGATGGTTAGAAGGACAGTACAACTTCATGGGTAGCAGTGGGCATAGGCTCATCGTCCCCAGATATTTGTATTTTAAAACATACAAGGGAAAATATGGGGAGGGCGACTGCATGACAGGTAGTTTTACCCATCCGAGTGGGTCAGGCTGGCAGGGTGTAGCTCTGGGGAAACCGAGGCAGGGCGGCGCGTCCCGCTGACGGCGCCGGCGCGCGGTTCTCGCCCTGCAGCTGGTGGGGCTGCCCCTGCTTCCCGCCTACTGGAGCCTCGGCTTTCACCTTAGCCCG